TTTTTTCTGTCGTTTGGAGGAATCGACTCATAAATTAAAAAAAAACAACTTCGATCTGAAGAGATGAATATTTGTATATTCATGACAGAAATTATAAGTGAATGTATTTTTAAGGATCGTCTGTAATGCTCTTCTTCTTAAATATATATATATATATATATATATATATATATATATACGATCCCTGAGTCCGATAACATCAGGAATTCTCCTTTCTGACAAACTGATTATGGTGAGATTCGAACCAGGGTCAGAATGCGAACATTCTAACCACTCGGTCACGTGCCCTTATTCGCATTTTGACCATAAGAACCGTATTTGAATCTCAACATTGTTGATTTGCCAGGAAGGAAACTTCCAGATATTAACGGACTGGAGGGGTCGATCTCAGCGTGCGACACCTTTGGAAAGTACCTGAAAATATTATCAAGGGTTGACCCAAACCTTGTGAGTGAAATTCGGTAGACGGAACCCTCGTGGGTTGTCGATAGCTGTGCTAGCAAGAATCACAATTCATCGCGCCCGAGGGCTTGAGCATGCTGGCCTTGTTCAAATTGTTGATCACGCTAGATAACACGCTCTTTCCCCAGAAGTTAAGGTCTGCTCAGTATAGTAGCAGTATAAACCAGACGTGGGTCCCGTGGGTGTTGAATAAACACAAATGCGCCTGAGAAAGCCTCTGGTAATGGGGATTGGTTAGCCACTCTAGTAAACGGGTGTCCTTGAATACGAGTGACCAGCTATCATTAGAAAATTATACAACTGTAACTTATATGTATATGATAAAAAAAAATAGTGTTTTGATTTATGCTATATTTACGGATAACAGTTTTCGATATCAGAGATCGTTTGTAAATATAAAGGTGAACGTTGATACAAATGCAATGCGGCGACAGTATGCTTCATAACTGAATGCAATGATCAGGCCAAGGTGATTGCGTTTAAGCATGAAAGACGACTGTCTCGTAGTTTTCATCTCAGTTTCCATTTTACATCTATATGTTACAGTTTAATCATTAAATATACATACCATGAATACACAACTGTAATATTTAACAACTGACACCATTTTCTCTCGTTTTTTTCCTGTGTGGAATAATGAGTTTCCCATTTGTCCTTTTTTCTGCCAGAATCTGCTCATACATAAATATATATCGTAAGCCGCATTTTAATTGTTAGTATCGAACAGATACTTACACACCAGCAAACACATTGTTGGATATTTTGAAAAATGGCTTCTTTTTCTATCGATTTTTCGGTTTCTTAGTCCCTTTGGAAAAAGAAAAACAACAAAAAAAAAAAAAAAAAAAAAAACAAAAAAAAGGGAATGCTTTGACCTGAAAAACTTGATGACCTTTGCATATACTAAATATTACCGTATATATAGTGTTTGTAAATATAACTTTGTACATTAAAAAACTTATTCACAGCACTGAGTTATAAATGGGTCGTAAAAAGATCGTATTTTTTAAAAGTAATTTTCACAGAAAATATCCATATATTTGTATATATATTTATTCAACCTCCCATATTTTCCATTTTGTCCCATTAGCTTTCACCATCTTTGAAGTCGTTTCATGTGTAGATCTTCCCAGAACTTTGTATATTTTGCGGTGATGACCTGGTCTAAATTTAGGTTTCTATAGAATTGAATTTATTCCGTTGGAACAGTTTTGTAGGGATGGAAATAAGTGATAATTTTAAGTTATAGTACGGTGAGATATTTCAACTAAGATGTACCAATTTTACAAGGTCTGTAAATAGAGTTGAGGTCTAGTGTTGTCCTCATGGAAAACAATCACCTTCTGATCGGTCAATTTCTGACGCTTTTATACGATTCCTGGTTTCAATGTTTGCTTCCCATGCTATGGTTTAAATAGCAGTGTTGACTGGAGTCTCAACCCCTTGCTGGGCAGACAGTCAGCTCCGAATTGCGAACCGAGGCGAAAACATTATCTTTCCTATCTAGTTATGGAAATTCACAGATAAAGAAACTTTTTTCTGTGACAAGCTATACAATCGCTTACGATCTGAAGGGACATGTCATTACAAAAGCAGCCGATAAAGACATTGTCGAAATATTACGGATGTAGATGACAGACGATAATGTGCGCTGAACAAGACAAATGGACTGTATGAAGCTTTAAAGTAGATTAATTTATAAACATTGTTACAGATATTGTAGATATCCACAAAGAAAGCTAAATAATAGCCTATATAGATAATAAACTCAAGCAGACAATTCAGATGCGTAGCCAGATAGATGCAAATGGCTGGTAGAAAAATTGTTCCGTCAATTTCCGGCGCAGAAAAAAATCAGGATTTAGACATGAAATTCAAATATTCTCCACTGGAACCAATTGAATTGGGAATACACCCTTGTTTAATTCCATAGCTGATCATTTTTTTGTGTTTGGCAATGAGCTCATGGTTAGCGACACAGAAAGGAAATATTAATAATGGTCGTATGTATTCAAGTAGTAAAATAATTGTGATACTAAATGAAAAAATGAAATAGACTAGAATTAAAGAAATTAAGAGAAAGGCAAAGAAAGAAAAACCGTGCGTAGCAAAATGAAAGATTGAGAGTGAAAAGAAAATGGCATCGTAAAGCGAAAGGTTTAATAGCAAAAGATGTTGGACGTCGGAAAATGAGAGAGCGAGAATGAATGAAAGAGAGCATAGCAACGTGAAATTAACAGTGTGCAGCATCGTGAAGCAGAGTGCGGCAAAGAATGAAAGAAACAGTGCATAGCAACACGAAAGAAACAGGGTGCAACAAATCGAAGAGTGGGCAGTAAAGTGAAGAAAACAGTTGGTAACCATGTGAAGGACACAGGATGTGCAGTAAAGTTTGAAAAAAAAGGGCGTAGCACAGTGTAAGAATGAGATGTAAAGATACATTGTGCAAAAGTCAACTTGTGACAGTGAAAACCAGGGGAGCATCGTGAACGAAACAGTGGGGAGCAAAATGAAAAATAAAAAGGATGCAGCAACGTCAAAAAACAAGATGCAACAGCGTAAAAGAAAAAGGCTACAACAACGTGAAAGAAAAAGGGTATAGCAATGTGAGAGAAAAAGGGTATAACAACGTGAAAGAAAAAGGGTACAGCATCGTGAGAGAGAAAGAGTACAGCAACTTGAAAGAAATAAGGTATAGCAATGTGAAAGAAACACAGCAAAGTGAAAGTAACTGGGTTAGGAAACGAGAAAGAAATTTGGTGTGGCATCGTGAAAGAAAAAGTGTGAAACAAAAAGTGAGATTAACACGGCTTAGCAAAATGTAAGACTGAGAAGGAAAGAAACAGTGTAACAAAGTCAACTTTTGAGAGTGAAGTAACAGGCGTTTGCAATGTGAAATAAACAGCGTGTAGCAAGTGACAGAAATGGAATGTAGCAAAGTGTGAAATAAACAGGGCAAAGCAAAATGCAAGATTGATATGGAAAGAAACAGTGTACCACAGGCAAGTGAGAGGGAAAGAAACGGGGTGTAGGAAACGTGAAAGAAACAGGGGTGTAGGAAACGTGAAACGAACGGGGGTGTAGGAAACGTGAAACGAACGGGGTGTAGGAAACGTGAAAGAAACAGGGTGTAGGAAACGTGAAACGAACGGGGGTGTAGGAAACGTGAAACGAACAGGGGGTAGGAAACGAAACGAAAGGTGTAGGAAACGTGAAAGAAACAGGTTGTAGGAAACGTGAAACGAACGGGGTGTAGGAAACGTGAAACGAACAGGGTGTAGGAAACGTGAAACGAACAGGTTGTAGGAAACGTGAAACGTGTAGAAAAAGGAAAGAAACAGGAGGCAGCAAAAACTGGAGGAAACAGGCCGATGCATCGTGAAAGAAACAATGTATAACAAAGAATGAAAGAAACAGGGTGTAGCAAAGTGTGAAGGAAACAGGGTGTAGGAAAATGTAAAAAAACAAAACAAGGTAGCAAATGCGAGAATGAACAGAAATCATTCATACGTGATTTCGAAAGTAGATTGTTGGAAGTAAAAACCTTTGCAATTTTGTTTGGAGTTTGCAAATTTTTGCGAAAAGTTAAGATAAGAAACTTATCAAAATAAAAATGTTACTCGGCTCTAAAGTGCAGGAAATGAATAATCGCTTCATTGCGTTGCAACAGAAAACCAGGTTTGTTTATTCTTTGCATTAAAAGAAAAAGAAACAAAAATAAACGATTTATTTCTCGTGACCCTTAATTTATTTATTCTTTTTTACTGGATTTGCGTTAATCAGTTATCAAAGCGTTTGGCTTCAATCCCTGAAATAATACCATTATTGTAGCTTGCCTAGTGGCTGAAACAGTCACATAAATCAAACTGATACCAGAAATCTGTGTTCAATGCTAGGCAAAGGTTTATAATTTGTATGCTGGTTTTCTCAACAAGCAGACGCTCTATATACACGAGTTTCTCCGTACCTAGCTAATCTTGTCAACATACAAAACATATCTGGGGAACGAAAGATATTCTTTTGAAATTTCCACAGTAGGCGAGAAGAGAACAATTTGTTAGATGCTAATGTTAAAATATTTCGATATACTACTACTTTTATACGCCATGTCCTTTTAGTATGTAGACGACCATGGCTCTTCACAGCCTTCTGATTTTGTTATCTTTAATTTTTAGCTCTTGACCATACCTCTTCGTCTCTTTCACTATTCATTCAGTTTAATTTGTTCATACTGATTGTTTTTTTTACGGTTTATCAGCCTTTTTAAACAAGAAATTACAGATTAGATTGTAACAATATTTTGGAGATAATAATTTACTGATACAAGTCCTACTTATTAGGTGGATTCCTAACTTTTCAGAGGATATATTTAAGGTGAGGCTTGAAGAACACCAGAAAGCTGTGACACGAGGGAAAATGGAAAAATCAGGCGTGGCTGACCATATATGGATCAGGCTGAGATCGTAGACAAAGAACACCATTGGAAAATTCGTAAACTTAAGGAATCAGCACGTATGCTAGGCCATAAAAATCTCCTGAGCCGACCAAGCATAGAAATGAATACAGTATGAGAACCAGTAAGAAGGAGTGCCAGAGAAAAGCGATAATAGCAACAAAAATTACAATATGACCTCTGGTAAAAACATGCAATGATAACAGCAAAAATTGCACTAGTAAAAAATGGTTGCTGAAGACATTCGGTTTATAATACGCAGAAATTCATATGCAAATGTCCCTCAAGGGCACACGGCACAGGGGATAAAGGTGTTGGTTAGATCCAGTGACAGGAAACGGTGTGAGTTCAATACCCGGTTAAGGAGAGGGGAATTAACAGGCGATAACTAATAGCTGATATAGCACGTAGAACTGGAACAGTCTACCCCAGTGAACAAAATAAAGTGTTCATTGCGACATTCCAACCACATGAAGAAGGCCGAATCGTACAACGGCCGAAACGTTGTAATAAATATGGCGACAAAGATGAGAACAATAGTCCGAATTTTCCGAGGGTATTTGCACGTAAATGAATATAACGAACATGAAAGAGATTGGAAGCCAGCTCTGCCATTTCCACTTCCGAGCAGTTATCCATCCGAACAGCCAAGCGGTCACCCATCTAGATACTGGCATGGCTTGACGTTGCTTAACTTCTATGATTGCACAAGAAGCGGCAGTAAGAATTTTCTATTTTGTTTTCCACGCTTTCTTCTTTTAAATGTGTAATATCGGTGAAATTATCTGCTTTCCTGCATTCAACGCATATTAGCTAGCATTTTGGTTGTTAGTAGCAGTTTCTTTGTTGTTCCTTTTTTATTTTTTAAATCTTATTCGTTGCTCATATGTTTTGTCCTTCGTATTCGCACTCATCGGTAAAACCACATCTGTCACTTCTTTATCTGTGACGGGATTGTCCAGCATCGACGGCTATATAAGAAGTTAGATATTAATGGGTCATAAACTATTCCAAATTTAGACCTTTGAATGAGCGCGTTACTTTATAAGCTAGCCTTGCAGCAAGTAATTGTTATTAATATAACCCACATGAATGAGCTCTTATGCATTTTTCTCGTGGGACGTTTCTCAGGATAAAAAATAGCAAGCTGATATTGCGAGCTGCCGGTTACATCTAGGGCGTTTCATTTCTGCTAAGAAATTGTTGTAGAGTGGTTTCACAGTGGAGGCTTGTATTTGTACTAAGTCGGTCCTAAAATAGGTTCGACGTACAAAACGTTAGGAACTTGATATAATTGGTAATGACGCAGTAATCTAGTTGTGGTGGCTGATACTTTATTAGGCCGGTTTAACGTGGGATGTCCGGATTTGTGGGCTCGGCCAAAAATAGGTTTGCCCATTGTACCAGTATAAACGGGTTCAGGGTCGGTTTACCTCCCCAAAAGAGAATCCGCCCTTCGGCGTAATATCTTTAGGGGTTCCCTCCCCGCCCGAAGGCAGAGAGTTCAACCGGTCAGCTGGTCGTCCGATTTTTCAGAGTGAACTCAGACCCTTGATCACTGAGCGACTCGTTACTCTTTTACTCCTACTTATTATAGGTGGGAGAGTTTATTAACTATAGAATAGGTGTGTTCCAATTATAACAGAAATAGAATTAAAGAAGACAGAAGATGGCAACTGACATTGCATTTAAATATTTGAAGTTTGTAGTTATTAGGGAAGCAAGAAATCGGAAAGGAGCGAAACCTACTTGCCAATCTAGTAGCACTCTTAAATTCATGTGGCATGCGTACTAGGGGTGGGGAAGCTCATCAGTGTAGCTGCCGTGATTTTTTTTTTTTTTTGGAAAAGGCAGAGAGAAGTCACATCAGGTCGGTGGGAAAGTAAATGAAGCCGAGATACCTGATCAGGATCGTTAACATGACAGACTCTTCTATGGATTTTATCAAGAATCGCGAGATGTACGCCAGGAACATCAAACCAGATATGGCAACAGTATTCAATGCACGGATGAATTGAGATGTAGAAATGTAAAAGGGTTTTGACGGGAAACATTTTTTTCACTACACAGCGAAGCAACATTCCTTGCAACAGACGATTCAATAGAGTCACTCTACTTCATGTCAGTGGAAAACTGAGGCATAGAGTGTTTCTCACCTGATGTCAGGCAGAAAACATTCTCTGTGGCCATTAAATGAAAGCAGTTTTGTTTTGGAGGTATTGTAATTTACAAGCCATTTCTTGCCCCAGTTAACCACTGATTGGAGGACCCTTTTCAAGAGTAGTTGCCAGTTCTACTTTGTCGCACTTCCTACTAAGACAGGAGTAAATAGTTGTGTCATCTGCATAATTGATGACATCGAAAATATCGTTGATGAAAAACAGAAACAGCGTAAATCGAAGGATAAGGGCCCTGAATTAATAGGAAAGTGAATGAAGTCGAGATACCTGATCAGGATCTATAATATTACAGACTCTTCTATGGGTTTTATCAAGAATCGCCAGGAACATCAAACCAAATACGGCAAGAGGATTCGATGCACGGACGAATTGTAGATGTAGAAATGTGTAAGATAGTTTCTGACAGAAAACATTTTCAGTCACTTCACAGTGAAGCAACATTCCTTGCAACAGACGATTCGATAGAGTCACTCTAATTCATGTCGAAGGAAAACGAACAAGAGTGTCATCACCTGATGGCAGGCAGAAAATGGCATGTGATCATTATTGAAAGCAGTTTTGTCTTGGAGGCGTTAAAACGTAAAGGCCATTTTCCTGCCCCAGCTAACCACTTGCAATTATGTTAAGAATTATTCCAACTCATTAATGAACTATTTCAAGTCCAAAACGTTGTTGCATGAGGAAATTTGTCCAATTATGTACACGGCTATATAGAAAGTTAGACGTTATCATCTGGTCCAATGTTGTTTTTTTTTTTAAATGAATCATCTTATTATGGTCAATTTTTATTATAGATGTTATATTCACTAGAATTTTTAAGAAAAAAATGCAGGTTATTTAAAGCCAAAATACTTTTAGATAAGAATTCTTCAGTGGCGAGATATTAATGGTTTAGTGATATAAATCTTAACTCATAAATTGCGGGGGAAAGATGGATTCATGCTTTTTCCAATGGTATTTGCGTGCAAGCTAATATAAAGAAGCTAGCGGGAACTGTAAATCTACTCTGATTTCCTATTCGTAAGCGATTACACATCTAAGTGTTGAGCGGGTTCGACGTAGTTTAACTTATATTTTGAACATCAATGTTTCAATGTTTCAGTTGGGCTATGATAAATTTTTAGCCACACTTGATTACAACAATTTTGGCTTGTTTAATAACGTCTCTTTTTTTCAGGCAATACCATGTTAGTATAAAGCTTCTCTCATCTATGAACAATAGTTGACTTATATCTTGCAATGGAAATAAGTAAATTAGTGCATTTCAACGAGGGCAAATAATAGGATGGCATCAGTGTGGCAAGTCAAAAAATAGAGAAATTGCTAGGTTTTTCCAGGTTAATCATCAAACGGTTAATAATATTGTCAAGAAATTTAATGAAGAAGGCCATTGAATGATATGGAACATGTAGGAGGAAGACCAAGCATCGTGTCTGAGCAAAAGAAAAGGGCACTGAAAGAGGGAAGTCATCAGTCGTCAGAGCGTCAAAGATGTCGCCAACATATGGAAATATCTCCATCTGCACTGAGAAAGAAATTGAAAAGAGCTAGGCTATCAAAGAAGACACAAAACTTTTTTTTTTGAATTTCAGAGGATTTCATGTATCTGGAGAAATGAGAATGAGACTTAGAACATTGAAAGTCTGCAGATGAAAAAAAATGGAGGGATTGGAATTAATTGGTGGGGCGCATAGTTGGTTTGGAGGTAATCATTCTGAGCTGATTCTTGTTGATGAGCGGTTGAATGGTCCAAAATACTATTTCAAATATTAGAGAAAGACTACTCCCACTATTTGAAACCAATCAGATTGACAAGAACGTTTTCCTTTTGCAAGAAGATGGAGCGCCATGTCATACGAGCAAAGTAGCAA